AACATCTATTGCCAGTCCTCCTCCTTTTTTCCCCCAAAGCCCCAGTAGATAGTTGTATGTCATAGCTGCACATCCTTCCAGTTGCTGTATGTGGGACGCGGCCTCAGCATGGCCGGAGAAGCGGTGCATCAGTGTGCGCCGGGATCCGAAACCTGGGCCGCCAGTAGCGGATTGCGCGCACCCCACCGCCAAGCCATGGGGCCGGCCCCATCAGAGCTTTACCTTCTTAAAAATTATTGAGGCCTCCCAAAGAGCTTTTGTTCATGTGGATTTTATTTATTGATGTTTACCGTATTAGAAATTAAAACTGAGAAATACCTTTTAACTGCAGTTGGTTACTGTCACTGACTCTTTCCACTCCAATTCTCCTCCATCATGACTCCCCATGTGTTAGATGGCTTAGAGAGGCTGCAGGCACTTTTTGGATCCAGTCAAGGGAAAATTGAGCTGGAGATGCATTTGGCTTGGGTTTAGTGGGATGTATTTATGTGATTTGCAGCTGCTTAATTAAGTTATTGTTGACTCACCCAGTAGAGGAATAACTTCCGGAAATATCTCTATCCCACACTAATGTGTGGGATATTTATTGATGTTTACCGTATTAGAACCAAGAATATGTTCATATTTCAAGACATCTGGCCCGGCACTTCAGCAGAGTGTGTTGCAATATTCTATTGCACTCAGCACCAGAAGTTTGAGGGGAAATGGAGGAAAAACAAGGTTAAAAATGTGTGGGGCCAGAAGTTATCTGTGGAGAATTCTCCCGATCATCAAATATATTATAAATGCAAGCAGAGGATTTTGTTTTTATCAAAGACTAGTGAAAATGGAAGTTCTCTCCCGGCAGGAATTATGGTGCATTAAAGATGAAAATTCTTTGTAATCCCTTCCAGTAAGCAGTGGTGTTTATTTCCCCTCCTCTTGTATCTGAGCTGGTCCTGGGATTTGCTTTGACCAGTAGAATATGGTGGGATGGTGCTGGGTAACTTCCAAACCTGGATCTTAGGAGATACAAAGCTTTCCACTTTTGCACACTCAGAATGTTCCATCTTGGAACCCAGATGCAATGCTTTTAGAATTCCAATTCAGGAGGAAAGGCCATGTGGAAGAGAACCAAGTTTCTCAGCTGACAGCCAGCAACAACTGCCAGCCACCTAGTGAGCCATCATGGATGTTCCAGCCCAGTGGAGCTCTCTGATGATTGCAGCCCCAGTCAACACTACATTTAGCAGATGATCCACTCAGCTAAGCTCAGTCAACCCAGAATCATGCAACAACACATGGCTTTTGTTTTAAATTATGAGTCTCAGAATAATATGTTCCTCAGCAATAGATAACCAAAACAATTTTGCTTTGTTTGCATCAGAAGGAAAATAGAACAGACATAAAGGGAAGGAAGTTCTTTGGACAGAATAGATTTGACTATATTTTTAGAGCTAAGAGGAAGGAGTGAATAGAGAGCTAAAAGTACAGAGGAGAGGGGAGATATTTCAGCACATCTTTGGAGGAGACAATAATGAACTGGATTAAGGACACAAATTGAGGTACTGGCTTTGTATGGAAGGCAGGGAACTTACTTCATTCTATGAGAGTGGAAGAAATGAAGTCAGCAGGGGAGATGTTACTACTTAGCTTAGTAAGCCATTTATTTTAAAGCAGAATACTTAAATTTAATCTGTGGCCAAGCAAATAAGTATTTTTTATTTCATGAATTTAACTGGAATAAAAAAACATAGAATTTGATTCCCTATTTAAAAATAAAGAGAACAGAAAGAAGAGAAGACAACATCCTAAAAGGAGTAGAATTGCTTTGACTGGTTAAAATTTCTCAAACCCTTAAGTTGACTTCCAAGGAACACTTGTGGAATGCGTTATGTAGATCATTCTTTTAGGGCAGTTTGTAACAGTTTATTAACACAGAAAAACCTCAATATCTGTTTAAAAAAGTACAGGATGGACTTGAGTTGTGGGAGAAAAAAAAATCTTCACTTTATCCATTCACTCAAAAACACTTTTTCCAAATGGGCAGAGGAAATGAACAGACACTTCTCCAAAGAAGATATACAGATGGCCAATAGGCACATGAAAAGATGTTCAACATCACTAATCATCA